CTTACCTCTTAATCTACTCCCCCCTCCCTCCCCTGGCTCCCTTTCCATTCTTACTTCTTCCTTTTCCCTTTTCCTTCGGCTGTCTCCTTCCATACTTCAGCCCTACAAGCATACCTAACGTAATTATTGCGCGCCAGGGCCGGTAGCACTTCAACACCGCAACTCATACAGCTGCGGTTTTGCGCAATCAGAATTTCTCACAATCAAGCCATCGGAATAACCATCAGACGAGCTGGAGCTTAGGTTCCTCAACTCCAGCTCTCTGTAGTCGCTGCCCATTCAGAACAACCTTCTAGCTCAGCCCTTATCCCCATAATACAATAACCAAATCGCCCATGCTGCGAGCAGCATCCCGCGCCGCATTTGCGGCCTGCTTCTTACTAGTATCCATCGCCAATGCACTTCCTCACGGAGACGATGAATCCATGGAAATGGACATGGGCATGAACATGGAAGACACAACAAAGTCGGAGCCGCATAAAGACGCAAACGACGAATCTCCCATGAGTTATTTCGCATACGGAAAGCATTCGGGCACCATAATGGCTCACATCGCTCTCATGATCATTGCATGGTGTTTCGTCCTGCCCACAGGTAAGAAATTCCAGCAACCACCATCTTCGGGATCTTTGCTGATCAGTGCTGCCACAGCCGTCATGTTCAGTGTCGCGCGTTCGCGATTTGCACTGCCGTCGCAATTTTTCTTCCTGGTGTGCAATGCCTTGGGTTTACTTATCGGAATTATCTACAACAGTCAGACCCCTGATCTTTATGAGAACAATGCTCATCACAAGATTGGGTGGATTGCGACGTGGGTAATCAGCGCACAGGTCATTATGTCGTTGATCTTCGCGTATGCTGGCAGAGGCGAGAGAGCAAAGGCATACGAGCAGGCAGCATTCCTCCCTGTGCCCACCGACGAAATGGCTGATAATTCGCACCCTTATACGTCTGGAATGAATCATGCCTATCGCTGGTCAAAAGACAGCGGCCAGGGCACCGAGAGAAACTCCTCCTCCCTTCACAGTCGACCAAGTTCACCTTCCTGCTCAACTCCGTCAGAAGAATATGATGCCTTTGAGAAGCCCGAGCAAGTATTTGAGGAGCCCGCTCACCGCGGCTGGCTACATAGCACCGTTTTAGGCCGTTTTTTCGCCAGTCGCCTGCCTCGCTTCGTATCTAGTCGCGTTCTCCGGGTCTTGAATGCTGTATCTTTGGTTATTGACAGGATTATCCTGCCTTTTGGCTTCGTCGCTATCGCAACCGGTGGTGTAACTTATGGTGGCATCATGGTAAGCGCCTTCTCTCTATCTCCCTCTTTGCCCGATGTAAGATTGCGCTAATTGAGTTCAACTGCAGCGGGGAAGCGAAGTCTTCAACGGTCTGGCGCACTTCATAAAGGGTGGAATCTTTTTCTGGTACGGTCTGTTGACCATGGGCCGCTGGATGGGCTGCTGGGCAGATTTTGGCTGGGCATGGAACATCAAACCCTCGAGCTCCATTGTCGGAAAATGGAAGGAGAAGATTCCTTCTGCCGAGTTTACCGAATCCTTCGTCATTTTCCTTTACGGGGCAAGCAATGTCTTTCTGGAACATCTGGCTGGCTGGGGCGGCGCATGGTCTGCTACGGACCTTGAGCATGTGTCGATTTCGATCATGTTCTTCGGCGGTGGCCTTTGTGGCATGCTGTTTGAATCCAAGCGCGTCAGAGGCTGGCTGAACAGTACCGTTCTGCAATCTCCCGCTCATGCCGGCGTACATGTTTCGGCAGACCCTGCTTGGCAGACCCCTGATACCCAAGGCGTATCCCTCAATCCAATGCCTGCGCTTGTTATCCTGCTTTTGGGCATGATGATGGGATCGCACCATCAAACGAGCATGATTTCGACCATGGTGCACAAGCAATGGGGAAATCTTCTCGTTGGGTTCGCCTTGGCTCGTGGCATGACGTATGTTTTGCTATACCTCAAGCCTCCGACCTCCTATCTTCCGTCGCGCCCACCAACTGAGATTGTGGCATCCTTCTGCCTGATTGCTGGCGGGTTGATCTTCATGCTAAGTGTAAGTGTCTTGTGTCCCTCTCTTTCCTTCTTTTCAATCCAGGGGATTGTTACTGATCTTTTGTCGGTAGACCCGCAATGTGGTTGATAGCATGGAATACTATAATCTGGATGCTATGTTCACGTTCACTGTTGGAATGGGAGTGACCGCCTTTATCATGGCTTGTGAGATTTTGGCTATTGCCCTCAAGGCTTGGGCGGTGAAGAAGGAGTCACGACCACAACTGCCGCCTTTCAAGTTCCCCGCCGCCTGAATCATGCCGAAATGATTTTCTCACCGCCTGTCGCTAGATCACTTCTCATGCTTCAGCTTGAGTTTTTGATACGAACCACGGCGGAAGCAGGTGAAAAAATGGAAGAACAAAAAAACAACACGGACAGGATGAACTGGAGGATTTAATGTTTACTTGTGATCTCATTATACCCCTTACACTATTTGACTTCTATGACCAGGTGTTTGGCTTTGGGTGACTGGACATAATACCCCATATATCACAGCCAGGTTTTCACTTTTTGACGCCTTTTGATGTTTATGAACGATACGCATGGCTTACGGAATGGCTAATGAGGGGTGGTTGATAACCAATGATGTGACCGGATTTTTTTTTTTTTTTTTTTGGGAATACTACCTAGAGACCTCTTGTGGACGTCTTAGTGGATATAGGATGAAACGAACCATGAACAATTGTACAGAGTCTTGTCCAAGTGCCACCTCCTGAATCTGATTTCAAAGCTCGAGCCAAGCAGAAGTTTACAAGTCTCTTCTGGTGGGGGTCCAGCCAATCGTTCTCAGCAAGGCACGTTTTGCTGCTACTCCGTATCATTTGAGACCTTGATCTAATTCGCTCTACCGGATTTAACATGATTTATCTCTTTATCCCCGAGCCTCCGCCAACGGGGAGAAAAAGCTTAGCCATACTGCCGATTACCCGATGCCTCAGTTACCTCGGTGGCTTGGTGGAGGTCAACAATGTCAGACAGACGTTGCAGAGGGATTGTGACAAGGGCCGGTTAGTTTCCACAGCTATTCAAACATTATTCTAGATCGTATCAATGGACAAGGCACTTCTGCCAAAGCTCCTTTATCTTGCAGCCTCGTAATACGTGAAAGAGTAAACCATTAGTAAGCGTCCATGAGAGGCAAGAGTGGGGATGGGGGGCCGCTGCGTCGAAATCGAATTGGATGGATGTTCCTTGATGTTTCTTCGGGCATTTAAGAGGGGCGACTGTCCCGCGTTATCTATCAGCTATTTTTCCCATATTTCACAGTCTTTGTCCAAAGTACGCTCTTCACGCAGCTTTCTATACTCATATCCTTTAAAGATGGCATCCAACCCACCCGGAGCTTGCTGTGCCTCTGGTTTCAAGCACGAAGGCAATCCCGCTGGAGAAATCAAGACTGTCGAGGGTGGTAAGTAGCCTTGCTACCCCTTTCTGAACGCAGCTGGTCTCGGTGCTGAGTCTCCAAAGTTGAAACCTACATCTCATACCCCAAGGACAACAAGAGCCCCGAGAAGGCCATCGTCATATTGAGCGACATCTTCGGTATCTATGTCAACGCCCAGCTGCTTGCCGACGAATTCGCTGCCAATGGATACCTCGCCGTTATTCCCGATCTCTTCCAGAAGGACGCTATCAAGCTCAGTGACATGGAATCCGGCAAGGCTGATCTTCCCTCCTGGCTTCCTAAGCACCAGATCGCCAACGTTGACCCTGTTGTCGAGTCTACAATCAAGTACCTCAGGCAGGACTTGGGAGTCAAGAGAATCGCCGGTGTCGGTTACTGCTTTGGTGGCAAGGTAAGTTACATGCTTTGAAACCTGCAAGGTGTCTATGTTGGTGTATCCCGTTCCTAACAAGGCTCTTTCGATCAGTATGTCTGCCGCTTCTTGAAGCCCGGTAAGATCGACGTCGGTTACACCGCTCATCCCTCCTTTATCTCCAAGGAGGAGCTAGCTGCCATCGCTGGTCCTCTTTCTATCGCTGCCTCCGGTAAGTTGGTCCGCGAGGATGGGTTAGGTTACTATCAATATCATAACTGACGTTGAGAATATGTTAGAAATCGACAACATATTCACCACTCAGCTCCGTCACGAGTCCGAGGATATTCTGATCAAGACAGGTCAGCCCTGGCAGATTAATCTGTTCAGCGGCGTTACACATGGCTTCGCTGTCCGCGCTGACTTGAGCAACAAGCACTTCAAGTTCTGCAAGGAGCAGGCCTTCTACCAGGCTGTTGCGTGGTTCCAGCAGTACCTGTAATCTGATGTTATAAGTCAGATATAAATCTCATATATAATTGATCATGATTTAATGAGCTAGAAGAAATGAGATTGCAAACTTCCAGTATCAACTTTCGTATTTATGCATCACTGAGAGATTCCCTGGACCGATAGCGCTTATCGCACACGTGACCCCGTGATCCGCGTTACTGAAGAGCCCACTCAGACAAAGTAGCCTCAAAGAGCCCTGAGCATTGATCGTTTTCAGTTCCAAATTCAGTGCTGCTGCATTACCTCCTTGTGTTTGTTCGAGCTCACGGTTTAGTCTTACAGGTTTTATATTATTTGGACTATCTCTGCATAAAGGACATCGAACTTTCCGAGTCGTGTGGTCCGCATCGCATGTTTTCTGGCTTCTGAATTGTTTGCATTCATCCTAGACACTGCCACTGGGCACTGGCAATTCCGCTTTACGACATATAGTGCATTGTCCTTGCCTGATTGATGAATCACGACCTCGATTTCCTTGACTTTGCTTCCTCGGTTGTACCGACGTCAACCCTTTCCCTTCGATCTCGATACAACAGCAGAGTTCTACACAAATCAAACAGAACACTCATCCACCTTATTCCTACCTTGACCATCACCTTCGGCGTACTCAAATCGTTCGCACTTTCTGTGAATTGGGGAATTTCGTGCCATTTCTCTACCAAGCAACATGGCAATCCCGGCCGCATTACCGCCATTACCATTCAACCCTACCAGGGTGAGATCGTATGTGCTCCGATTACCACTTTTCACACGCCTTGTGCTGTTGGCCATCGTTGTATTTTGGTTGCTCGAGCTACAAACTATATGGGGCGTGGTACAATGGGGATCATTGACGCCGAGTGAAATCGGAATTGGTAGCAGTATGTCCATCTCTGCCGTGCCGCCCAATCTGCAGTCGATTGTTACGTCTTTGCGTGCGAACGGTACTGACGCGAGAAAATAGTGTACCGACTGAACACCTATCCATTTATTCACGTCGGGTTTTTTCACGCTTTCGTGAATCTGCTAGCTCTCACACCGTTGCTGGAGCGATTCGAAGCTGAGCATGGTACATTGACCGCAGTTGCTTTATTTCTTGGCCGTATGTCATCCCCATTTGGTTTCGGAAACCGCAGAAAGGCCCTATCAAGGAGACCTCAGGTTGCAGTGGGCTAATATCTGTGTGCAGCTCTCTCAACCTTCCCAGCCGGTATATACATCCTGATTGAGAAATTCATCCTGCACAGCAACACTGCTGTGGTTGGGGCAAGGTGGGATTTGAAGACCTCAGAAAGTGAAAGTATTTCTAACATATCCTTAGTGTCTGGGTGTTCCTATTGCTAGGCTCTGAAGCTATTAAGACATTTAAGTCAAACCCATACTTCAGGTATCCCAACTTGGAACGAGTCACGTTGAAGTCCTCAGATCATCTAATTATTCATAGTCTTGGGACAGCGAAGATTCCGACCTGGACGTCACCACTATTCGCATGTGCTCTCGTATCGATATTCATGCCGAACACGAGCTTCTTGGGCCACCTGAGCGCTATTATAATAGGCTATCTACGTGAGTATTCCCTATCATTGTGCTCTCTTGCTTTAAAACTAACGTGTCATTCTCTAGTCGGCCTCGGGTATCTCAAGGTGCTTGTTCCACCAGAGAAGATCCTGAGATGGATTGAGGGAAAGCTGAACCTACTGGGACGACTGCCACATTATGTGTCAGTAGATCAGAAAACCTATGGTCGTTATGGTGTCCTTCCTACGGCGACGGCAGCCGTAGGGGGTGAGAGGCCCACTCCTCTGAGCTATCTGGGCACGAATCAACGCCTCGGTCCTTGAAGCTACCACACTCAGCAGGAAGAAATTTCAATTTTGTGTGCATATTAATCAATAAATACTTGTTAATGAAGCATTAAGTGTATCAGGGAAAATTTTGTTAATTCATTTGCATCACTTGTAGTCTCTTAGAGCGAGTTGTGTAGGTGGTCACTACCGGCCGACGTAAATTTAGATACCAGCTATTGCGGAGATGCTGGTTCCAATACATTCAACTTGCCCTCTAAGCAATTTTACAACAACACTCGGCATGGGAAGATACTTCCGAATGTCTTTAATTCCATGGCATTGAAATGTAAGTTAAATACTTCGAAATTACGCGCAGAGACTTGGTCTATCGGCAAATTGTATCTCAATGCGCGCCATTCATCCCCTAGCATCTACCCCAGAATATCATCAGACGCAGCTTCAGATAGACCTAAGCTGACAGGGACCGGATGACAGCCGTGATCCGCAGGTTGCGGAGCAATCCCCAGTTTCTCTTCGTGCGCCTGCCGTATATACTTTCGCTTCTTTGCATAATCGCAGGAGTGGTCTGGCTTCTTCTCCTTCCCCTCGACGAATACGCCCGTCGAACATACATCTCCGAGAATGCGCTTTTGCCTGGCCAGGTTCATGCATACTTTTCAGGCAGCGAACAGAACATCTTTCGCGGGTATAAGAGGGAACTCGAAAGTTTGCTGAATTCTGGGAATCAGGAAGGTCAGGAGGCGAAGGATAGTGAATTGACACCGGTGTACGTCGAGACGTTGCTGCTACACCTTTCTACCGCTTAGCCGTGTGGTCTGGTGGTCCCATTGCTAATTCCAAATCTGCGACTAGAATTTCCGATCAGATACAGTCGGTCTTGCGAGCGGCCGGGTTGAAAGTTGCGACGCAGAAGTACGAGTACACTTCTTCGGGCATCACGCATGAGGGACAGAATGTCTACGCGATCATCCATGCGCCGCGGGGCGATGCCACGGAGGCGATTGTGCTGGTTGCTGCTTGGAAGACTGCTGATGGGGAATTGAACTTGAATGGGGTCAGCCTTGCGCTGACGCTGGCAAGATACTTTAAGCGTGGGTCGAAACTTATCGCGATGCAGTGTGGAGAAGGGGTCATTCAAGCCGTGCTGATGACGATCGTCTCTAGGTTGGTCTTTGTGGTCCAAAGATATCATTTTTCTGTTTCCACCAGACAGCAAATCTGGAACTCAGGCGTGGATCGATGCGTATCATGACATGCAACCGCCCTCGGTCCAGCCTCTGCCGCTGAAGAGCGGTGCCCTACAGGGGGGACTCGTTATTGAATACCCCTTCGATCATCGATTCGAGTCTTTACATATCGTCTACGATGGCGTCAACGGGCAACTGCCCAATCTGGATTTATTTAATACGGTCATTTCAATCGCCGGGGGTCAGATGGGAATCGGAACCAGCCTGCAGGAAATGTGGGAGCATGATGATAGCTATCAAAAGCGCCTGCAGACAATCCTTAGGGGTATGGTCAAGCAGGGCTTCGGACACGCTACCGGGGCACATAGTAGTTTCATACCGTACCACATTGATGCGATCACTCTGCAAACGAAGGGAGATGGCTGGCAAGATGAGATGGCTCTAGGTCGAACCGTGGAGAGTCTCTGTCGCAGTCTCAACAACCTGCTCGAACACCTTCACCAGAGTTTCTTCTTCTATCTGCTGATGCACACCAATCGCTTCGTCAGCATAGGTACTTACCTTCCAAGTGCGATGCTGATTGCTGGGAACTTCACCATCATGGCGATTGCTTTGTGGATGCGTACGGGCTACTATATGCACGCTCTCGCGACCTCTACCACGAAAGGAGAAGGTCCCCAGGATAAGAAGTCTCCGGCCGATCAAGCAACGAATGCTGAGACAAATGGCGAATTGAATGACTCAAATCCCAAGGAGCTACCCAGTCCTGGCAGCGTCCTGGAGCGACAGTTGGCGCTCCCGCTCACACTAGTTATCGGGCTACACCTGCTTGGCCTGGTCCCTCTTTTCATCTTCAATAACATCCATCACAAGGTCGGTCTCCTCACTTCTGCACTGAACGTGGTCCCGCAAGATCTCTAACAATGTCAACAGTACTATACGACCGCGACCTACACTTGTCTCGGAGCTGGGGTCATCCTCCCCCTCATCGTGTCAGCCCTCTTGAACCATGGGGTTAGTTCTCCTCCAACAACTCAGCAATATTTCCTGACTAAATCCTTCTCCCTCCTTCTGCTCGGCCTGTTCCTCTCTACCCTTGCCACATTGAACTTCTCTCTTTCTTTCATGGTTGGCCTACTCTGTGCACCACTTAGTTTCGTCAAGCGCATCAGTCCCCAGACGAAAGCTGCTCTGCGGTACCCCATCGCTATACTTGGTTTGCTAGTCTTAAATGTCCTTTCTCCTCCTGCGGTTCTCATTGGGGCATGTTGGTACTCAGGCGTGACGGTTGAGACGGTTCTGACTCAGGCAGCATTCGGATGGAATGTCTGGGGCATGTGGACACAGGTGGTTGTGTGGTGTGTCTGGTGGCCTGCTTGGGTGGTTGGATGTGTCTTACTAGGATCGTCTCTTCTTTGAAGCCTGGGGTCTGGACTTGAATTTAGGGGTCTGGCTCGACATTAGGGCTAGTGTTTATACATCACCGTCACATCATTCCATAGGTATATCCTCCCCTTTGGTATTTTACAATTTCCTTGTAGGCAACGCTCATCCTTGACTGGAAAGGACCAATCGCTCCCGTAGTTTTTCAGTTATTGAGAGTGTTCTAGTAAGGTTCGTACATACATGCAAAATAGTACCCTTGTAACCCTCGAACGCCAGAAACATGGGCTCATAAGGATACCTATCATGTTACCTGGTCTGCTTTCTAGGCAGCCCACACGTCCTTACCAACTCCTTCGATCCAGTGACCCAGCTGATTCACACCAGCATCCCAATCCTTGAGTCTATTGCGCATGCCTTCAATCTGTTTCATATCCAGCACCTTGGGCTGCACCCAGTGAATCCGAGCGACCTGCGCAACCTGATCAATAGCACCCTTGAGAAGACCCAAGGACAAAGCCTTCATGACCAGGTGCTCGATCTCTTCAGGCTTGACCTTCGTCTCCGAGGAGATCGACGCGAATGTGAGGTTGCGGTTGTGCGGGGGTCGACGGAAGACCATTTCTGTGAGGGCTGACAGGGAGATCTTCTGGTAGAGGAAAATGCGATGCTGCTCAAGTAGCTTGTTCTTGGAGATGTTGCCGGCCAGGACATCGTACGCAGTAAGGTCGCCGCGGTTGAAGGCAAACAGGAGGTCGCGCAGCCAGCTGTGCGGCGTCTCGGTGAGCGAGTCCAGGATCGGGTGCAGGAGGAGTTCGCCAAAGTTGTAGATTGTGTCGGAGACGAGGGCGGCGACACTCAGGCTGTATGCGCGGGAGACACGCTCTGACTCGCTGAGATCCTCCAGGTTGATGCATGCTAGGTAAAGAAGGGCGTTTTTGTAATAGGCGGCGAATTCTTGTTTGGCCTTGGCGTACGTTCATGGTTAGTTCGCGAGCAGAGGAATTAATGCGAATCGGTCGCTCAACTTACGTGGTAGTAATCTGCGTTGACTTTGTAAAAGGAAGCGTGCACCACCGTCTCGACGGAGTCGAACGAGTCCAAAACCTTCTGGCATACTTCCAGATCTTTTTGCGCTCCATCCAAATCCTGTAGTCGCTGCTTCACGTTTGCAACTTCCGCAAGGGCATACACGTGAGCTTCTTGTGTGTCGGGTTTGTTCACTTTGTCGGCAAGTGATGTAAGAAAGGAGAGTCGCTCTTGGTCATCTGTCACCCCATTGACTGTCAGTCAAATGCTACCTTGCGTTCTCCCTTTCTAACTAGAATAGAACATGGATCTCAAACAAACCTGCGCATTCCGTTGATGCCATCAAACCCAGCGAGACGAACTTCAGCTGATTAATCTTGTCGGCGAAGCTCAGAACAAACGTCTTGAATATCGGTAACCGCTGAGGAGCGCTTTCAGGTAACTGGAAGAACTCCACCAGAGCGTTGGTCAATTGATGCCATAGTTTCCGTTCCCAGAAGTCTTCAAAGCTGAGGAAGAAGGCCTGGCTCTGCTCTGGAGCTCGTTGCAGCTGGTCTGCCAGGAAATCGGAGATCTTCTGGTTCTCCATGGTGGAGAAGTCAAGGAGAGATGCTGGTTTCGCGGGATACAAGGACACGGACGGTAGCTAGGAAGGAAGAAGAGGAGGAGGCTCAGGTATTTGAGATGAAGAGCTAATTAGTGGTGGATGGAAGGACTCGGAAAGTGGTTCAATGAATTGTGAGAGCAAAGGTTGCTTAGGTCTTAGATGGCTGTGTTGCGTAGGAGCTTGGGCGGTGTCTCTGCGCCGCCGTAGTACCTCTTACTGGAGAGATGACATCCCTACAAAGCTACGCCAACAATGTACTCTGTCGTCTACTGCGGTTTCTGAATGCGTTCCAGCAGGTAGCATCCTGACCCACATTGGAGCTATGTGCATGTGGTATTTTAAGGTACTAGAGAGGCACCTCTCTTGCCTATGGTAAGTTGGTAACAAGATATCAGTGCGACTAAACTGTTCCAGGACCCCGGTAGTGGATCTAGCAGTTCGCCTCTAGCACAAGTGTCCGATATGTCTCCGAATTGCTGGTATATATTTGGCAGTCTTAGTCTTGCCATCTCAACATAAGTCTTTATTACTCTATAGTAGCTATCTTGAATTAGGTGAAACCGATTATAGCGCTCTTACTCTTTTCCCTTGCATTTCTTCCACATCAATCTCTTCACATATCGCTCAGAAGTCTTCAAACTTGTCACGATGTCGGACTTTACTGAGTTGAACAGACAATATTTCAGGTCAGTCCGCGATCATTGGTGGATGCAGAGTACCTTTCTTACAAATCACACAGTAAACTAGCTAGTTCCTACAGGGAGGAATTCCGACAAGGCCAGGAATTGATCTTCAATGAGGTTCAAGGACGTCGCTCCTGGATCAGTGATACCTGGAGTGACACCCAGTCGGGAAAAGGTCATAAAATCAGGATGCTCGAGTATGCTTGCGGGCCTGGTGCTGTCTCCGCAGTATGTATCTCAAACAGACTTCAAGGTGATGGAGGATGCTGCTGAATCTGAAAACAAGGCGCTAGCACCGTTCGTCGACCATATTGTTGGCATGGACGTATCCGAAGAAATGATCAAGCAATTCAACATCAACGCCCAAGAAACGGGCTTTGCGGATAAGATGCATGGCTACCACGGCGACCTCCTCGCTGAACCCGTGCCGGACAATCTATCCGGGCCTGAGTTCTTCGATTTCGATCTCGTCGCTGTGAGCATGGCCCTTCATCACTTTGACAAGCCTGACTTGGCGTTGAAACGCCTTGGCGAGCGGCTAAAGAAAGACGGCATGTTCTTTATTATCGATTTGGTACCGGAGGATGAACACTCAAATGGCCTGCACAATGCATTCCTCCAGGCAAGCGCGACAGTTAGAACACGTGGCTTCACCTTGGAGAACATGCAGAAGTTGTTCAAAGACGCCGGAATGGGCGAGAAGTTCGACTACCAGGTCATTCAGGAGCCGGTAGTGTTCAAAAAGGAGGGAAAAGAGTTCAAGAAGACTATATTCATCGCCAGAGCTCAGCGCAATTAGTGACCTGCGTGAGCTTCTCAAGCATGTTCGTTTTTGTATCCTACAGACTGTAATGGTTGTACCAATGACATGAGGGCGTTCGCAGGCTACAGGGTGCTCGGCTCACTAGAGATGAGCTTCCTGTGGGAGCTCACAGTCAGACACCCGAGCAGAATGAGGCCGCTTCGGATGGCCAAAACCCTTCCAGTGTCGGTAAGAGGTCAAGGGAAGTATTAGAGATAGGATTAGCGGTATGGATAGGCACCATCAGTTCATGGCTGGTCAACTTGGTCGTCCAATCAGAATTTCCGAATAGTCAGATGGGGATACGTGCTGAGGGCACAAGATGGTAGTATCCAAGTATAGATTGGCGTTAATTAGTCTTTGGGTGGGAATTTCGCTCGAAATTATCCAATTCACCTCATGGAGATGAATAGTCTGCAGTAAATTCCTACAGTGCAAAGTATTGATCGTAGGTCATTGACATTGCTAGAGGTTGCTGTCCGAATTCGGACTAGCGCAAAAGTCCCGTGCTGCAGTTCGCTCTCTGGAGAACGACTTTCGACCAGTCCAGCATCAAGCCCGAAACTTACCTGCCGAGCTGTGCTCTCACCTCCATCTCTCTCACAATCCACGCAATACCGATCCGGACACAACACGGTGGTCTCATTCGGACCGCGAGCTGAAGAGAGACCATGCAGAAGTGCCGGGCCGTCAATTCCGCTCTGGGGTCGAGGGCATTCGTCCCCGCCCCTCGGGTCCAATTCCAAGTGCAGCGCCGGAATCTCCAGGATGTCGCGATTACTCGAACTGGGAAACCAATTCTGAAGGTCCAGGGCGGACGGTGAGAGCAATTGAGTCGGAATTGTCCGGTAGCTGGGATGCTAACAGGCAGTTTTGTTATAGGTCCTCTCTTGGAGGTATGCTAGTCATCGCCAGCAATTCACGTCGCTTGCAGCTCGCCTAATATGAATACCTTTGCTTTAGGTCATACCGCCACTGTTTTCGGTGCTACTGGCTTCCTCGGTCGCTACATTGTCAACAAGCTCGGTAGGTCAACGAGGTGGCCCGCAGGGTGGAAACAGACGTTGATTCGCAGCTAGCCAACCAGGGATGCACGGTTGTTGTTCCCTTCCGTGAGGAAATGACTAAGAGACACCTCAAGCCGACTGGTGATCTTGGAAGAGTTGTCTTCATTGTACGTGGACATCTAATTTCAGGATATGGAGGCTGTTTCCTCCGGCTAACTCGAGCATCGCTTAGGAATACGACCTGCGGAATACCCAGTCTATCGAGGAGAGTGTCCGTCACTCCGATGTTGTCTACAACCTTGTTGGTCGTCAATATCCCACGAAGTGAGTGGCCGCGTTATGTTTCATGGGGTTCGGTAAGAGAGGGGCCACGGCTAATGCTTCGCAGGAACTTCTCCTACACCGACGTTCATGTCGATGGAACTGAGCGCATTGCCGAGGCTGTCGCCAAGTACGATGTTGACAGATTTATCCACGTCTCCTCTTATAACGCCGACAAGAACTCGCCCTCCGAGTTTTTCAGGACAAAGGTCCGTTTCGGCTCCCCAGCGAGCGGTGGCTGCGTGAAAATGCTGATTGATCGTACAGGGGTGGGGTGAGGAAGTTGCTCGCTCAATTTACCCCGAGACTACCATCGTCCGGCCTGCTCCCATGTTTGGTTTCGAGGACAATCTTCTCCACAAGCTCGCCGGTGTCACCAACCTTTTCACTTCCAACCGCATGCAGGAACGCTTCTGGCCCGTTCACGTAAGCTCAGCACCAAACTAACGATTCGGAGCGTGACACTTATCATGTTATATAGGCCATTGATGTTGGCTCCGCCCTCGAGTTGATGCTCCACGACGACACCACTGCCGGCCAGACTTTCGAGCTCTATGGGCCGAAGAATTACTCTACTGCGGAAATTGCTGAATTGGTTGACCGTGAAATCCTCAAGCACCGCCGCCACATCAACGTTCCCAAGGCCATCCTGAAGCCTGCGGCTTACTACCTGAACAAGCTCCTCTGGTGGCACACCATCTCCGCCGATGAGGTGGAGCGGGAGTTCATTGACCAGAAGATTGACAAGACGGCCAAGACATTCAAGGACCTCGGCATTGAGCCCGCCGAGCTCAGCGACCTCACCTTCCACTACTTGGTAAGTCATTCGCCTTCGTTCAAGTTTTGTTAACGACACTGATTCCTCCTACAGAAAGGCTACAGAAGCTCCTCCTACTACGATCTGCCTCCCGCCACGGAGCGCGAAAGAAAGGAGGAAAAGAAGTACTTGCACGTTCTTGACGACCAGTAGTTGTCTCTGTTTCTTTTAAGTGTGTACATAAGTTTACTAGACCCAGTCAATTTCCTTGTGTTATCCCCAGCGTGTTAGGTATATCCATTCAGTAATGACGTAGTTGAAGAGGCTCCAAGGGAGTCGTGGTACATACAGTACTTATATTTTAAAAAGACCTGACTTAATCCATCAATTGGAATAGGACATCTGCTGCAGGGTCAAACCAACAGGTCGTAAAACTGTCTCCTCGCGCAGCTCTGCTGAAGACTCCACCGATCAAATCACCTCACTCCCCGAGCGTATCTTACCCCACACATATCAAATGAACGCCAGTAAACAAGCTCAGCAATCGAACATCGGAGAAAAATGACAACCTCACCTTCAAATCCCTTCTCATCCTCATCGGCAACGCCCATCTTGCTCCCCAAGACGAAATCTACCCCGCACGATGGCTATGAGGAATTCTTCTCCGCTCACGGCTACAACCCCGCCTTCGTCCCAGTCCTCGAGCACCGTTTCAACCAGACAAACCTCCGCACCGTCAAAGATCTCTTCACATCAGGCAGTCTAAATGCCGGTCCGGGGCGGAAATACGGCGGGCTGATATTCACCAGCCAGCGTGCTGTGGAGGGGTTTGCGCGCTTAGTCACGACAGAGGTGGATGGTACGTTTGCCCTGCCCTCAGCAGATACGGTGGAAAAGTCAAAGGAAAAGAATATCCACAAGCTAACGGGCTCTGACAGTCTCAATAGCGAGAGACGCATCCCGCTCCTTGATACTGTACACCGTCGGGCCCGCGACAGCCCGCTCCCTTACAACGTTACGAGACACCCATCTGCCCCATGCGACGATCTACGGCTCCGACGCCGGAGACGGCCAGAAACTTGCGCTCGCGATCCTGGAGCATTATAATGCGCTGTATGATGGCGGAGATGCTGGCGCAGGCGCCCATGCACCGGCTGCAAAGCCACCCCTCCTCTTCCTCGTTGGCGAACAGCGCCGCGATATCATACCGAGAACACTCATGGCTGAATCCCTACCTCCCACTAAGCGGATTCAGGTCGACGAGCTTGTCGTGTATGAGACGGGGGTGATGGAGTCCTTTGAAGGTGATTTTCGGGCTGCGGTGCGCGCCGGACAGGAGTATTTGGCCCTGGCTGATCGGGACGGGGACGGGGACGGGGAGGAGAGGGTGATATGGGTGGTTGTGTTCTCGCCGACGGGCTGTGACGCGATGCTTCGTGTTCTGGGGTTGCTTTCTACATCTAAAGAGTCCTGTGCGGGAGGTGCGGGCGCGCTGGTTGATGGGAGTGCAAGCGGGACGGAGAGGAGGGTCTTCATTGCGACTATCGGGCCTACGACGAAAGATCACCTTGTCAAGAATTATGGATTTGAGCCTGATGTCTGTGCGGAGAAACCTAGTCCGGAAGGTGTTGGTGCTGGCATTGAGGCGTTCATGCGGCGGAGGAAGGGGAGATGATCTAGGCGTGCTTGAGACTGTTACTGTACTTGTATTTTATACCTAGCCGTTTCGTCGCATTGGCGATGGTTCCAAGGCACGATGTAAAGACATAGTAATTCTTCAATATACCCAAGCACTATTATGGCTGACAGGGTCGGACTGAATGGAAAGACGGCATTGCACGTCCGGAAGGAATTTCGTTCATCAAACCCGACGCAAGATACAAGAAACTTGGTATGGACGATCTACATTGACAAACAACTAGCTGGACGCCAACGTGGAAATTTGCTCGCAACAAAAGCATACGGCCGGCGCTGATATCCTATTCAGTACAACAGAAGGACCTAGGCGGAATCGGGTATTGTGGAAAGACGTTCAACGATGTGGCGAGTCGTGGAAGTTGAATGCTATTGAGAATAGCGATATCGTGCAATGCGTGAGCATATCGCTTGAGCCTTCTATGCGCTTATGATAATATGTGCAGGAGCTTAACCCATCCCTGGATCGGCGGGTGAGATGGTTGAGTTTCATCCTGCCCTCAAGTCTGCTGGAGAGTTGCCACTGGATCGGATACAGTCTTAGAGTACTGCAGGAGACGCCACTGTCTCTCTACCGCATGATTTCTTCGTAGATCAGGGCTGCGGATCACTGGTCAGCGGTCTTTCCTTGAAGCAAACGGATAAAGCGACAACTGACTTTTCAATTGCTCCTTGCTGAGTGCATCCTTGTTCTTGTCAAAATCAAAGAAGCCCTCGGGAATAGGGGGAGCCGTGGGCTCATCGTCGGGGTCGTGGTACGGCTCCAGATACGGATGGCGTAGAGCATCTTCGACCGTGATACGTTTTGCGGGGTTGAAAGCCAGGAGTTTTTCCAGGAGATCCAATGCTGATTCGTTGCTCTTGGGAAATAATGCCTTGAAGGGGATCTTCTTCTTGAAGGGAAGAGAGCGGATGTACTCTCGAGCCCGGCGCGATTTTATGCCGTAGTAGTCTTCCATGGTTGGTGTTCCGAGAACATCCAGAATGAGGGTCAATTGGTGATGGTCTGCTCAGTCAGTCGTGGAACGCTTCACTAAGGAAATTTCCAAAAGCACAGCAACTTACAGTCTTTCCCGGGGAACAAGGGCTTCCCGCTCAGCATCTCGGCCAAGATGCAGCCAACACTCCAGACATCAATGGCTTTCGTATACTCCTTGAATGTCAGCATGATCTCCGGCGCACGGTACCACCGAGTCGCAACGTATTCTGTCATAAAACCCGAGTTGTCATCGGTCGAGGCAGCCGACCGAGCCAAGCCAAAGTCGCAGACTTTCAGATCACAGTTGGCATTGAGTAGCAGATTCGAGGGCTTCAGGTCACGGTGAAGCACGTTAGCTGAGTGCATGGCTTTGAGTGCACGGAGCGTTTGGTAGATGAAGTATTGGCAGTGGTCATCAGAGAGATCCTGGGTGCGGATGACACGATGCATATCGGTTTCCATCAACTCCTGTCAAGGCAATCAGTCTTCCAAGGTCTCCACGTGTGCGTGTGTGCGTTGAAGAGTGTACCTGAATCAAATACACCTCATTGAAGCTCTCATAGTTGCGAGGTCTCTGAATATCCAAGATCGAAATGATGTTTTCGTGGTTAAAGTAGCGCAGTAACTTCATTTCACGCAAAGTCCGCAAGCAGAACATGGAGTGATCGAAGGGTGTAATCTTCTTAATGGCAACTTTCTGGCCAGAGGGTTTGTGAATAGCCGAGCTGGAACAAGTCAGTATCGGAGCCTGATTGTCGCTATCGACAATAGAGGTCACCCACCAAACGACGCCGTAAGCACCCTCTCCAATGACATCTTGGATTTCATATTGCTCAGAAACGTTGAAGGAGATCTTCCTCGATCCTCCTTGAGGAGGCTGCTGCACCATGGTTGCTAACTTTCAGCATCAAAAGTTAGTCAAGAGTTCTTGGATTACAGGAGTGATAGTCGCAAATCGGATCATGCTCAGGTTATCCCCGCACGGTGCATCATGGTTTGAATTGCTCAAGAAGCCTCAGAGAAGGAGGGTGAGGGTTTATCAAGTACTGTTTGGCATGCAACCAGACGAGCCACACAGTGGCTCAGAAACAGATAATGAAAGTCGGCGCTTACATTCGTTTAATTTGTGGTAATCGTAGCTTTGGACGATAATTCTTGATTTAATTGTAGCCAATTCTCATACCGTGGTCGCGCTCGAATTGCTGAAAGTCGCCCAGAATCTGTGGAAGGCTTGAAGCGGGGTAAGATCCGTGTTGGGGGCTGAACAAGTATACAGCAGCGTAGTAATATGAATTCGAAAAAGACGGATCAGATAAGCACGCTGGTCTTTCGAGGGTATAGGGGTTCGAATTTCGAATTCAAGTAACCCGGTTGACGAGCTTGAGATGTAGCCACAAAGCGCTTTGGATGAATCCGTCGTCGTTCTAGACGGCGTCGAGTCAGTCTTTGAGAGTTGAAATAAGCTTCAATATCAGGGCCGTCAAAGCCTTTTTCAGGGAATATTGAGACCAAGAAGGGTGAACGCAATCAAGAGATCATACCGAAGCTTAAGCTTTAGCTTCTGTGGTTTTCAAGACTTGATACTTCCCCAGGTAACTGATAATGGCTATCTGTTGTTCCCCTGAATGGATTTAGCCGCTATCCTCGTTTGCCGCTTCGACAGCCAGTTTCGAGTGTATGGGATAGCTTGCAGAAGGACGATGACAGAGTATATGTCGTTTAAGACCCGCAGTAGAACAAATGGCAGAGCGCGGGAAACAGAGCAGGAGAAGGAAGGTCGATCAGTATCGTGATGTGGAGGGGCTGGAGAAAGCAATAATAACAGGGAGCGGAACGGCCGAAGTGGGGTGGGGCAGCTTTTGCAGGAACAAGCAAAGGAATAATAGAGGGAAATAACACTTACCGAGAGATTCCCCAAGAGAAAGTCGGGGTGTATGTCACGAATGCATAGATGGAAGGAGTAGTAGCACCTAAGTAGATAGAGGAGGGATGTCGAAAGTTGTTTACAGGAATATAGAGTTGGTACAGGAGATCTAATAATACTGTCGCTGATGATCGGCAGTAGTTATGATAGCAGTGACTTATTGATATGGAGACTCGATCTCAAATTCAGCGTTGACAGACGGATTATATCGACAGTTACCTTCAATCCTTCAAAAAGCAGTCAATAGCTTGTTGAAGTTTGGTACAAGAAGGAGCTGAACAGAAAAGCTTTCAATTATTGTTGATTCTTCTTCTTAATATTGTTGCGTTTAGGGGGTGAAGAGTACCTAAGGTAAGACAGGCACACGAAAAGTCCGGGTGTTGGCCGGGACTGAACCTTGGATCACGCAGAGAGGGGCCGCTGTGGATGTATATACTCCGTACTAAGCTAGAATTATAGATAGAAACTTTCAGTTTTCCTATGAGAATGATCATTGAGGGTTCTTCTTTGTCGATCGTATACTAGAGGCGCAAATCTGTGACTTGATATCTAGAGAGAGAGCCTTTACAGCAGAAAATAATTACAGTTAATGAAGATGAATACGGGACAGGACAATGAACTCATTAAGAACAGTTTATTCGTCATACAGTTAAGAGGCTATATTTGTCAAACTCTATGGGTACAGGTAGCAAATACCAATTCTGTCCTACTACTGTGTCTATTATTGACTACTATCAAGCGAGAGACCCAGACCTCGCGATGAAGAAAACTTGAGATCTCTCACTAAGGATAGAGGAGAAAAGCGCCTTTGATTCGGAACCACAGAGGAAACAAGCTGTCACTTCTCAGCCTGTCATTAATAGCACATTTAAGCGTCAGGCTTCCATAATTGGGTCATTCAAGGTCAGTACGGAGTACATAGTGTATGGTTACAACTACGAAGGAGCAGTAGAGAACATTGAGACAAGTTACTGGCCACGATCCACTTGGATGTATCGGAATCCCGTCTCGATCAACTCTGTCTCAACCAGTGTTTCAATCCAACCATGCCAATGACACTAGTCGCCTTCAAACAAGCTAACAAGCAGGTAAATAGCTAACCAACAAAACCCAAATATTTAGCCGCCACAGCGCCAAAGCCGCATCTCGTACGGATGGACACCGCATGATGGTCCCACCCTTACAGCGTGTTACAGGCTGTTCCCTTCAATTTCTTACTAGCAGCTTACAACCCACCATCTTATTCCCACCAAATGTTGGCCGGGTGAGGAGGCTGTGCGATCACAGGTCGGACACTGCACTTGACGCTACTGCCGAGTACGGTCGTCACAATCACCAGATGTTGGATAGGTATCTACCAGTCAATTTTGCTCACTGCCCAATGTCAGCAATGCTAAGCTGTGACCAAAAGTCTACCGTGCATAAGCGGCCACACAGAGTCACAGCTGCCAGGGCAAGTGCAGCTCGTGTGCCATGAGACACAAGGCCCAGTGATGAGCGCCAACGGACTGCAGCTTTAGGGGGCATACCTATGTCCCCACGTACCTCCCTACTTACAAAGTACTCAGCACAGAAATTTAACTCACTACAACATGCTCCCTCGTGACCATTCCAGTTAAAGGCAGAAGATGACTGGACGTGAGGAAGGAAAGCAAGGATGAGAAGACACGGTCTACTAGATCTGGATTCTGTATGCACATATGGTAACTTGTAAGAAAAGAAGCCGTTCTCATCACACCAAAAGTGACCCTCACACTGAGTATTGAAATAATGGTACAATGAGACCAAGGATCTACTCCAAATGATAAGTCAAGGCTCCAGTGCCGCTCGTTTCAGAATAAAATGACATGGCCACTAGAATTGTTGATGTATTTGCCATAAAAATTATCAGACTTTGTAAAGATTATCATTACTGGACAACCTATAGGCGTGATCAAGCGCGTCAGTCAGGATGAGGTTGGACAGCGACTGTGTCGAAGTGAAATGGGGAAGACCTCAAAAGAAATTGGGGCTTTCTCAAACCTTTTCTCGCAGAGAACCCATCCACTGCACCAGGCTGACGCTCTGGTCGGTCCTATCTTCCACGAGCATCGTCTGGGCCCACAGTCGAAGACCTGGCTCTCCATCTTCCTTGACCACATACAGGTGAGGCACCACGATGCTGCCAACGCCCTTGGACCGGTGGTCCCGGCTTTTCTCAATGACCGCCCGCACTCGTTGATTGAAGTCATTGTCAAGCTCCGGGAGGTTCTGCTTGCCCACGCGAAGTTGCGACTTGTCAGGCAGACCGAAGACATCAAGGAGGAGCTGGGGCACTGCGTCACGCCCGATCCAGAGGAACTGGGTCTGTCCGTCATCAATCAGGTAAAGACCGTACGGCACGATGCGTTCAGAAGACAGGTTGATTGGAGGAGGGAGAACAATCTCGCCAGTCTGCTCGTCTGGCAATCCTGCATTGTCAGGCATGTCATGTAGTGAATACATCTTCGGGTAGATGTATTGAATGAGAAGAGGAAGAGGGAGCGTTGACAGCAAGCACAGCGCTGCAGATCGCATATCAGTGGGTATTTGTGCGGATTTGCGAAGACCGAGCTTTGACGCCAATGTCAGTCGGCAGTTTCACCCAGGATAGAACAGGCTGGTCCGGAGAACAAAAGGGGGGGAGGAGAAACTCACGTTTTTGATCATCGCCAGGAAAAGAACAGGAAGACCTCTCAAGTTGGCAGGGAATTGTAGGCCGCCTCCGCTCACGCTTCCACCAGCAAGCTCCTTCCGATATGTCGACAGAAGTTCCACAGCCTTGGCTTGTAGGGCCTCACGGGCAGGTTCCAGTCCACTTGAAAGAACCCGCTCGACAGCTTTGTGGCTGAAGTAAGTCGCAATTGCTTGTTGGTCTGCCGATGCGTATACATCGGCAAGGTTCTGCGTTGTGGGAAGAGCGAGGGTCAATACTCGAATCCTTCTCTCGCCATTGCATGTAGTGTGGAGGACAGCAGTCTGCATGCAAACAATAGGCTTGGTGACGGTCTCATCAATAGCAACCTCAACAACGTATGCTTGGTCACGAGGGAACGCGGGAAAGGCGCATAGGTCGGAGCTGCGGTTGAAGAAGTTGCCATAGAAGGTATTCATACGTAACCCAGTTGTAGCACGGACACGGAGGACGGCTTCAAGCCCAATCTCTGAAGACAAGTAATCGGAGAATTCACGAGCAAATTTGATCGCGTCCTCTCCCCGTGCTGCATTCCATCCGGGATAGAAGTATGTCTGTCCGCCAGTATATCTCGGCAGGTTGCTGAGGGATGCCACATCCTGGTATTGGGAAGAGAACAGGAACATGTCCACTGAGACCTGTGCCTTGGAGCACTCGACAGCGAAGCTCTTGTAGAAGCTGTTCGCCGTCTGTAGGAGACTGCTCTCTTTACTCGTCCCGAGGACTTTCTTATCCTCTCTCATGGTCAGGGAACCATGTCCGACATTGGGCAAAGACGAGCTCAACACGGTCATCTTTCCTCCCACCGGAGCGATCAACTTGTAGCCAGCCCGCAGAGCCGATCCCATGGCACAACCATTATTCTGGGTGTTTTGGAACATTTCCTGTAGTTTGTCGAGGAAGGTCTCAATGTTCTCTCGGCATTCACTCAGAGTCACCAGGAGGTCGCCCGGAATAGGGAGGAAAGGCTCGTCCAGATCGCTGATAACGAGCATTCTTGGATCAGAGTTCTCCGAACCGTCTCTGGGAATGCTGAAGTAATGAAGGCTAGAGTCGACTGCGATGAAACCCAGCCGAGTCCGACGGTCCGCATTGGGGATCCTGTCGAGGCTTTCCCTGATGCACCTTGCGCTAGTTGCCAGAAGACCATTTGTGACGGACGCATAACTCACGTCGATCAGGAAAAGATACACGAGCGGCTGAGGAGGACGAACCATGTACTCTTGGGGAGCAATGAATTCGACTACCGCGTGGTTGAGATCAGGTCGCAGGGAGCGGTCCGCAGGCTTCTGCAAAGCAGCATCCCAATCGAACGCCTGGGGCACATCATTTGTCAGGTTGCACATATTGCAGCGCCAGCGATGGCCATGGTCCAGAAAGGTCACAAATGGGTTGATGTAGGATCGGCAGCGTCGACACCGCGAGATAACCTGGTCTGGAATGACTGGAATCGGGTCTTCCGCATCATGCAGAGCGGCATATGGCTGAATGACAAGGGCAAACGGCAACTTAGATTTCTTGAGGAGAGAGTGCGTTGTCGGCACGGCATTCAAGGTCGATCGGACATATTTCGGAGGACAATTCGCTGTAGGAGATGGGTAAACGCTGGTCTAGAAAACGAGGCGGTCAGCAATTTCACTTCCTGGGTCGGATCATGCGAGTGACGTACACCTGGCGGGAGAACGATTGGCGGCGGAGGGTAGTCAAGCTCCGCGACATTAAATGGTTGAGTGAGAAGGTCTGTAGGATAGAGCTGGTTGAGGGGAACGAGGCGCGGAGCCTGAGGAGCCACGGCGGCCTGCGGAGGCTGCGGCGGCATGAGGTGGGGGTCGGTCACGCCCATCGCGCCGAACTGCTGGGTCATCTGTGCGATTCCTGGAGCAGCAGGGGCAGTATACCCCGGCGCTGCTGCATTCATCTGACTTGGGTCCGCCCCGTATACAGGTTGTTGATATCCCGCAGCCGGCGGCTGAGGGGGATATGCACCGTAACTGCCACCAGCGGGGAGTTGTCCCCCAAGAGCAGCATTGGCACCAGATCCAATTTCAAAGGCTTCTCCAGCATATGCTCGCTTCTTCTTACCACCTGCATGACCTTGGGGGGGAGCTCCGGCGGCCATGCCCGCGTGTTGCTGAGTGGGAGACCCATAACCGGCGGGTTGACCGTACCCTTCCTGGGGAGGATAGCCCCCTTGTGGTGATGCCATGAAGGACGACGCGTGACTTCTTTGTGTATGAGTAATATTAAGTTGTTCAATCCGTGCGAATTCCGAAGGCGGAGGCTAAGGGATCTTGAATGGTCGCGCAACTTGTCACAGCTTCACTACCTTACTAGTCAGCACTTGTCTCGAGCGAGGGGCGGGGAGATGATCAAAGAATCGGGGCAATCCGCGTACCAACAAGCAGGGTCACGCTTCAGACAAACGTGGAAGACGAATCCAAGGTATCATAGGCAGATGCCGCACACGAATGCAGTCGACGTGTTCTGGCAGAGTTTGGGATAGCTGTTGGTAGATAATGGAGGTTCCTTCGAAATGGATGGTGTACGGTGGCCTTTGCGGCTGCTGTTCCCCTTGGGCCAATCAGACCCCACAAGTCTAACCGAAGTTCACAGTCTACCAAAACACTCCAGCTTTCCCAGTAAATCACAAACACTCGCTCCAGATATAATTATCGGGTGGGATGCTCTTAGTTCGAGAGCTGAGTAGCAGAGATATTTACAATTCTATAATCCTCGGGAAATCTGTCCGACGTTGCTGGGTTGTTGGCATAATCAATAAGTGTCCGGAGGACTAGCGATGATCTCATAGGGAGTAAGTACATCATTAGGGAATGTCTCGATAAACAGAATGGAACCTGGATGAAGTTGGCATCGCCGCAGGTAAAGAGATGATCACCTGAAGAACTGAGATCGCATTCAAGCATGGTGTATATCATGTAGATACTGGGTTCCTCATAAGACTCCAATTTCATTACAGGTGGTTGACGCCCGCAGCACATGTGGATTATATATTCTTCTTCCTCCAGGACTGATTATCACAGCCGTACCTCTGGTACTTGAGGATTCGATTTCCACCATTAGTTGTTTATGCACCTGCGTCGTAGCGCTTACAGAAAGGTCAAATAAAACAAGCAGCTGCTCAATTCTATGTGAAGGGCAGAGATAGAGGTATGCCTGGATTCTCAAGTGAGATCAATGAGTAGTAGGCAATCATTGAGTGTGCCAATGTTTGCTTCGGATTGAATAGAAAACCACTAACTACTCCGTACTTATAAAAGACATTACTAAACAAACTCCTGATTCAACTGATTGACCCCCTATCTAATTGCAAATCGCACTGACATGGATATTCTCCATATCCACCATCGTACTAGTAAGATGCGTGCGAGGTTGCCGTGCCAACAGCGCTTGACCGCTAAGCATCGCACCAGGTGAGCACGATCCCTGCCTATTTCCAAGAGCACGGCCGAGTAAGTAACCTCTCTGACAGCAACTCAGTCCAAAGTTGCTTAGCGGGTCTATTTTTGCAGTGAAGCGTATTTCGCTAAGCGCTCTTTTCTTTCTCGCTCTAATCGTGGTTCCATTGGCTTTAGTTTGTGGGTTTGTGTCTTTGATTTATCGAGTCCAACGTATCTGCACCTTGCTCTGATTTGGATTATATTCTCCTACCCTGATCGTGCAACATTCGCGGAGTGATTCGAGCGCCTCATTGCTATGCGAAACCTAAGAACCCTGGAGGTCACCTCTAGTTTATTCTGAACTGGAGGAACACACACGGTCGACCTATTAACTCAGATCTCGATCAACGGTACTTCCAGCCGCGTGGGAACTGCATTTTCAAACGAGAAGGCCGATAGAACGAGGACCTAACAGATAATATGAGTGTTCGGGTTGTGGCCCGTGTTAGGCCACTTCTGAAAGCGGAGCGTGAGCAAGATGTAATTCTTCGCACTGGTCCGTCAAGTCATACTTTACCGCCAAAGGGCGACCAAAAGAGCTCCCGGGGCAATTCGGCGGTTGCAAAACTGAGGGACCGAGATACAGTTGTCAGGATCCCCAACCCCAAGAACGAAAACGAGGAATACTCTTTCCAGTTCAATGCCGTTTATGATGCAGATGCCTCGCAACAAGAGCTGTATGATGCCGAGGGTTCGTCATGCATTCCTCTGATCTAACCGCCATGATAGACTGACGTTATTCCTTCAGTTGCTCCCACAGTCAAGCACCTCTTCAACGGCTTCGATGTCACAATATTTGCATATGGGGTCACCGGAACGGGGAAAACACATACTATGCGAGGCGGTAAAAGCCTGGCGGAGAGAGGTGTTATTCCGCGTCTTCTGAGTAGCATATACAGACGCAACAGGAAGATCGAGAAGGACAGCGAAGGAGAAACAACTGTCAAGGTTGCCTTGAGCTACTATGAGATCTACAATGACAAAGTCTTCGATCTATTCGAACCCCCAGAGAAGAGGACACTAGCAGGGCTGCCTCTTCGGGACAATGGCGGGAAGACTGTAGTCGTAGGCTTGACGGAAAAACCGTGTACCAGCCTGAAAGAATTCGAGAACCTGTACGACCACGCAAATATCAACAGATCCACATCTGCAACAAAGGTCAATAGACATGGCTTCGAAAACCAGGATATGTTAGGCGAGGCTAACTGTGTTTTAGTTAAATGCTCATTCATCCCGATCGCACGCCATTCTGTGTGTGAAAGTGACCATCAGCTCCAGTGACCAGGTTCGCATCAGCACTGCATGTGCTATTGATCTCGCTGGGTCAGAGGATAACCGCCGGACGGACAACGACAAGGAACGCATGGTTGAATCGGCCAGTATTAACAAAAGTCTTTTCGTTCTTGCGCAATGCGTAGAAGCAATCAGCAAGAAGCAACAACGAATTCCATATCGTGAGTCGAAAATGACGAGGATATTATCTTTGGGCCAGAACAATGGCTTGACCGTTATGATCCTCAACCTCGCGCCAATCAAATCTTATCACCTAGATACCCTCAGCTCTCTAAATTTCGCAAACCGCACCAAGAAGATCGAAGTTCGCGAAGTGGAGAATGAGCCTATGTTCAAAGGACCACCGAGGGTCGTGGCACGAGCCTCAACGGCAAATGCTCAGCGGCAGCCTCTTCGGCCATTGACGGCCTCTGTTAATGTCAACTTGACTGTACCAACTAACAAAGATACATCGCAACCTGGTGACGGCAAGCCGGTGAAAGCGTTCCACGTATACTCGGACAAGTCCCGTTCTAGAAATTCGGCGCAATTTAAACGCGCTGATGGGCCGAAGAGGTCTTCATTGAGTTCTGGTCTTCACGGAGCACACCCGAACCGAACATCGAAGACTACTCGGATCGCGCAGACATCTCTGCCTAGCAAACGGCAGGAAGAAATCTCCACAGCCATGATTGAAGAAATGGTCGAGAAGAAAGTTGAGGAGATCCTTGCCGCGCGGGCTGTCAGTGAGCAATCGAAGCAGAGTGAAGTCTGTGAGATGAATGAACAACTGCAAAAACGTCTGGAAATACTGGAGCAGCGGATTGAAGGCACAGAGGACGCCAGAGCCGAAGGACTTTCGTACCTACTCATGGGCAAGCAACATCAAGCGCGAGGGGAGGACTTTTCGGCCCTGAAAATGTATCAGCTGGCGCTCCCTTTCTTTCCAAAGAACGAGAAGCTCGCGACCAAGATTGCCACTCTGAAAGACCGCATTCAGAGCAGGCAGCGCGAGCAGCAGACCGAGTTCACTGGCCAAGCGCCCTCAGCGCACAAAACCGGCCTCGGAAGCATCTTGTCGATCAAGAAACAGCCAGCACGTGCAGGCACAAAACGCCAAGCTGCCGAATCTGACGAAGATTATGAAGAGCCTGAAGAGAGCCTAGCTCATTACAGTGATGACGATCTTCTTGAAAGCTGCCAGCCAAAGCGCTCAAAGCGTACCAGAACCAAAAGCCCAAGTAAAGAGAGCCCAGATGAACCGGATTCGCCCGGCACGCTTCGCTATCCTTTACGAGCAAGGCGGGGACAGTTGCCAGGTGAGGTCATCTGTTCTGGCTGATTCTTGTGGTGTACTCTCAGCAGGATTAGAGGACGGTTTTTATTTTCTGATAGACCCCCCTCATTCGCCAATTGTCTTTCGTAGCATCCGCATCCCGTTGCGGCAGATGGTTGCAAACAGCCACCCCTAGCCATATGTCGAACATGGTCCCAAGGCCTCCATGCAGGCCAGGCTCTGGTCCTTGGTGAAGCGCGGAACAGTGACTCCGCACGGGAAGATACTTTCCGCAGCTCTGGAATACAGATATGAGGCACCTGCCTCGCTAGTCGAGACGTCAAAGCATATCAGCAATCGACGTCATATGTGAAATAATATGCATCAAATACTCTTTCTGTGTAATCTTGATCAGACACCACTTGTGGGCAAGCAGGTTGTTCTACTGGTACAATAAGCTTTCGAGGCAGAGGAATAACAGTCAAAGCTTCAGGCCATGAGTGCGCAACCGTCTAGAGAAGCATGACTATAGGTGGAGGTAGCTTAGTTAAGTATTTCGATGGATTCTACCTGGTAGGACCCTATCGTGATAACTTAGGTACTGAGTAAGTTGCTTGCCATGGCCAATGATAAGGGATCAACAGCCAGAAGAAAAATGAAAGGACGTTGGACTCGAACGACCTGCCCCAGGACACTACGTACATACCGTTGCAGGATCAATAAAGCCAATACATGTTGGGTTTTGTTCTAAGACTCCTGGCTCTTTTGGCCCAAGAGCATAGTCTGCTCGAGTAGGCATATGGCACAATGACAAAATGGGTCAAAATCTCTTCATTTAGAGGCGGGGGACAGCTTGTAAGATCGGAAGAAGATAATTGTCTTGTTCTATAGTACATCGAACCTGCAAAATGGAAAAACCCCCAAGTGAGTCGCTGTTGAATTCATGTATAGAAATACTGCATCTTACTTCTTCTCAGCGATCTTTTCAATGATAACTTTCCCCTCCTTGGTGAGCGTCGCGATACTCTGGCTTATCCCTTTCATCTCGTTTTCCAGTTCCTCGATTGTCCGCGACGGCCCAGGACCTGCATTGACAGCCTCATGAGCGACGTTTCTGAATTCCTCCCCAGCTACCCGTGGTTGTTCAGTAGATTTTGTAGGGTCGAAGGTCAATCCTCTTGGCGTATCCGCGATTTCGTT